CACACACACACACACACACACACACACACACACAAGCTTGTTCTATCCTCATGGGAACAGATCCTCGCATTTGCATTGACGTCCATTCAATTCTTCTGTCCCACTTACAGTTCCCCTAACTGACTGGCCGACACTTTACACCTAAAGCTGAAAATAAAACTAAGCTTAACCTCAGTGAACTGTAAACAGTCACTAGAAGKAACTCTTCTAAATAATCTAAACAATTACTTTGATTAGATTAAACCCTTTGTAAACATCCTATATGCACCTACCAGACCACACCCCCAATTATTCCTGACCCCTCCCCCAAATCTCATCCTACTCTGCCTAAACCTGCCTTCTCTGAAGCACAGCACGACAAACACTCAGTGTACTGGTTGAGTTCCACTCTAACACTACACCTACACTCACCAGAATACACCAGCAATATTCCACTACATCTTAAGCCTAATTCACACTCCCTAAGTTGGCACGGACTGTCGCAGTTTCATGACGAAAATTACGTCACTGGTGTACTCAGCGTCGAGTCGGTCGTCCCTTTTGTAAACAACTGTCTCAAACAACTGTTACAGGGTTTGAACATTTTTTAATAAAGCATTGACACTTAAACTGGTAAGAAAGTTTAGAGTTTTAGTTGTTGTATAGAGTGATCTCACTTTTGAAAACAGCAGCTGCGGGTAAGATGACTACAGTGCACAAATTCAATTGAAAACTAGAAGCACTCGAAGAGTGCAAACCTCCACCGAGACCAATTTCCCCCATCCTGTAGAGTTACAAAGGGGCACACCAATACTACAGTTCCACCTGCTGCTGGACACTTTGAAACCCACGCCCTGTGAAAGCATCACAGCTTTGCCGATGTCAGAGTGTTAAAAGAAAAAAGAATTCCTGTATCCGCATCGTGATCCGGAACATCACCAACATTTAATGGTGTATTTCTTGGCCTAGTACACACATGTGGTAAAAATGTCCTGACAATCTGTCCACAAGTTGTTGAGTAATGTTGTCCACAGACAGACAGACAGACAGACAGACACGACCGAAAACATTACCTCACCCTTGGCGGAGGTAATAAACTCCTGAAATGTACTTTTTAAGGGTCAAGAAATAAATTTCAAACAATAAAGGGCATGCTATGCAGATCCCTCACTTAGATGTTGAAGGATTTATAATCCCTCAGCATCCAAATATTATAAAGGTTGTGTTGGCAACTTATCAGTTTACATTTATCTGAAAAAACAGAATAAGCAAAATGCAGTGACCTTGTGTCTGTAACATAATGCTTTTAATTTTTAATGAGATTAGTTGCTCAAGGACAGAGAGATTGTGTATCCTGTCTTATTTTTCCTCACCAAGGACACAAAAAAAGACAACTGTAAATCTGCAGGAACAAAAATGCCAGATGATTCAGAATTCAAAACATAAAACACCTTACTAAAAGAAAGTGGCCAAAAAGGAACAAAACCCTCCTGCAAGCCATCACTTCTGTGTTCGAATGTCCTCAGAGGGGGTCGACATATTGATTAGTTTTTGCTGCAGTGATAGTGTTACAGAAATCTGAGCTCAAGGAATGATAACAAAGGAAACACAAGTTTGACACTGAGAATAATTTTTCAAAGTCTGTCACRAAGAAAGAATTAAATCCTAAGTTTACTTGCAGAACAGATCTAACTCTGGGTTTGACATAACTCCTGCTGTCAGGCAGTCCAGCTGGTTGTACCTGAATGTGACACTCATATTTACCTCTTCAGCAACATAATCTGTTCCATGCTGTTGGGGAGTGTCAGACGTCCCTTTAATTCACATTTGAAACATTTGATGCTGACTTCACTCTGCTCTGCTCTGTGTCGTTACTCTGGGAGCATCTCTGAAGTTCTTCTTACAGTTTTCATTACATCATCACTTGATTCAGCCTTGGCCTACAGTTTTTGCTGTCTTCAAAGCCTCATAGTTTTATTTTAAACTCAAGGAACTTTAGATTATCTTCATTGTTTAACATCCAGGTATTTCCTTTAAAATGGTAACCATCAGTGGTCCCTGCCTAAAGGCTGTGTCCAAAACAACAGGACGGGTCCTCCGAAGGTCGAATTTGTCGGCTGCATACGTCACAGCGCCGCGACGAAGGACGTCCAAAACCGAAGACTCCTCCGATGCGTCCGACAAATACGTCCTTCTTTTGGCCCGAATCGAAGGACTGGTGGATCCTTCCCGGCCCAGCATATCCCATAATGCATTGCGGCCCGACCGGAGATTTTTTTATGCTAGTAATGGCG